CCCCTGACTGTACGGGGAACCTGTCAGTCGGTCGCCTAAACCCCACCCCCTTGGCCGTTCTGCCTGCCCTTGACTGGACCGGGATCCTGTCACTCTCCCGCAAGCACCCCACCCCCGTGGCGCTCCTTCTGCCCCTGACTGGACGGGGAACCTGTCAGTCTCCCGCCTAAACCCCACCCCCTTGGCGGTGCTGCCTGCCCCTGACTGGACCGGGATCCTGTCACTCTCCCGCCAGCACCCCACCCCCTTGGCGCTCCTTCTGCCCCTGACTGGACCGGGAATCTGTCAGTCTCCCGCCAGCACCCACCCCCTTAGCGCTCCTGCTGCCCCTAACGCGACCCGGAATCTGCCGGAGGGCGCCTCCTCCCGCCCTCTGCACTGCCGCTAATGACTTTTTCCAGTGCGCGCTCAGAACGCCACCTCCTTCCTCGCCGGTGGCTGCCTGGCCTCCCTGGACGAGTGAGGCGCAGGTCTAGGTTCAGAACCTCGCCCTCTGCCCGGCCCTGACTGGCTCTGATGGAGGAGGAGGAACAGTCCGGCCTGTCCCGCCCGTGCTGGGCGCGGGCAGGCAGCGTCGCAGAAGACAGGTTCTAGGCTCCTACTGCGCGTTCCTCCTCCCAGACAAGGGCAGGCAGGGCCAAGCTACAGGGCGAGGTTCTGGCGGACGGACAGGCGGGTACGCGCCCGCTCAGGGGCTGCCAGGGACGTGCGGGACCCAGACCCGAAGCTGCCCCGTCCGGTCCGAGCTGGACATGGGCGGGACGACTGCCGCGTGGTGCGCGCAGACGTCACTTCCCGCGTCCAGTCAGGAGCCGCGAGGGGCGTGGCTCGAGGCGGTTCCTTTCCACACCATTTCCGCCCCGAGCCGCAGAAACAGGGCGACACAACCACTCGGCATCTGATTGGCAACGGAGTCTGAGACCGCGTGAAGCCAATGGCTGTCTGACCTGTCACTCAGACGAGCCCAGCCGCAGAGCGCCCTGCCGCTGAGGCTTTGGGGAGTTGTAGTCTGCCCGGTCCACCCTGTCCAAGCAGAGGGTGGCTGGACAATGTGAAATCAGGAAATATGGCCCACAGGTGATAGACGAAAAATGATCATTTAGGTCAGGAAAATTAGGCCTCAGAGCTTTCTTTAAAAGAAGAGAAAGAAGACAGCTGGGTTGAAACACGGTTCCTTTCCACAGCATTTCCGCCCCGAGCAGATGCCTCCGAAACAGGAAGCACACACCCACCCCACGTCTGAGCGGTCCGGAGTCTGAGACCGGGGAAGCCATTGGGTCGGCTACCTGTCACTCAGGCCAGTACAGCCCACACGTAGAGCGTCGCCGCCGCCGCTGAGGCTTCGGGGAGGTGTAGTCTCCCGGCCCCGCTCTGTGCAAGCCGGAGGGAATCCATAGACTGGGATGGAGCCTTAGGAACCCAGATAGAGCCTTAGGAACTCGGATGGAGTCTTAGGGACCCGTATGGAGTTCAGAGACTCGGATGGAGCCATAGGTACCCGGAAGGAGCCAAGAGACCCGGATGCAGCTCAGAGACTCGGATGGAGCCCAGAGAACCCGACGGAATCCAGAGACCTGGAGGTGGCCCTGGGGACCCGGATGTGGCCCGGAGACCCTGGTGGAGCCCAGAGACCTCGATGGAGCCTTAGGGACCTGGATTGATCCTAGAGACTCGGAGGGAACCTTATACACAAGATGGAGCCTTAAGAACCCGGATGGAGCCCAGAGACCCGGATGGAGCCCAGAGACCCTGATGGAGGCTTAGGGACTGGATGGAGCCTTAGGGACCCCGGATGGAATCTTAGGGACTCGAATGGAGCCCAGAGACCCTGATGGAGCCTTAGGGACCCCGATGGAGCATTAGGGACCCGGATGGAGCACAGAGACCCGGATGGAGCACAGAGACCCGGATGGAGCCTTAGGGACCCTGGTGGAGTCTTAGGGACCTGGATGGAGCCCAGAGACTTGGATGGAGCCCAGAGAGTGAAATAGAGCATTAGGGGCTCGGATGGAGCCCAGAGACCCAGATGGAGTCTTAGGAACCCGGATGGAGCCCAGAGATACGGATGGAGCCCAGAGACTCTGATGGAACCCAGAGACTTGGATAAAGCCTTAGAGGCCTTGATGGAGCCCTGGAGACCCTGATATGGCCCTAGGGACCTGGATGTGGTCCTGGGACCCGGGTGTGGACATGGGGACCAGAATGTGGCCCTGGGAGAACCGGATGTGGCCCTGGGGACCTGATGTGGACCTGGATGGAGCCCTGGGAGACCCCGATGTGGCCTTGGCAACCAGGATGTGGACCTGGGGGACCTGGATGCGGTCCTTGGAGACGCAGATGTGGCCCTAGAGACCCGGGTGTGGCCCTGGAGACCCCCATGTGACTCTAAGGACCCGGATGTGGCCCTGGGAGCCCGTATGTGGCCCTGGAGATCCGGATGTGACCCCGGAGACCCGGATGGCGCCATAGAGAGCCGGATATAGTGATGGAGACCTGGATGTGGCCCTGGAGAGAGTCCTAGAGACCCGGATGTGGCCCTGATCATGCTGATGTGGCCTTGGAGACCCAGATGTTCCTGGAGACCTGGATGTGGCCCTAGACCCGGATGTGGCCCTAGACACGGATGTGGCCCTGGAGAACCGGTAATGGCCTGAGACACCTGGATGTGGCCCTGGGGACCCCGATATGTCCCTTGGGGAACCGGATGTGGCCCTGGGTCCCGTATGTGGAGCCCTGGAGACCCGAATGGAGCCCAGAGACCCGAATGGAGCCCAGAGACCCGGATGGAGCCTTAGGGACCCCGATGGAGTCTTAGGGACCCGGATGGAGCCTAGACACTCGGATGCAGCCCATAGACGTGGATGGAGCCTTAGAGACCTGGATGGTGCCCAGAGACCCAGATGGAGCCCAGAGACCCGGATGGAGCCTTAGGGACCCGGATGGAATCCAGAGACCCGGATGGAGCCCAGAGACCCAGATGGAGCCAGAGACCGGGATGGAGCCCTAGGGACCCAGATGGAGCTCAGAGATATGGATGGAGCCTTGAGACTCGGATGGAGCCAGAGACCGGGATGGAGTCCAGAGACCCGGATGGAGCCTTAGGGACCCAGATGGAGCCCAGAGATCCGGATGGAGCCATTGGAACCGGATGGAGCCCAGAGATCCGGATGGAGCCATAGGAACCGGATGGAGCCCAGAGACCCGGATGGAGCCCAGAGACCCGGATGGAGCCCAGAGACCCAGATGGAGCCAGAGACCGGGATGGAGCCCTAGGGACCCAGATGGAGCCCAGAGACTCGCATTGAGCCCAAAGACCCGGATGGAGCCTTATGGACCCGGATGGAGCCTTAGGAACCCGGATGGAGCCCAGAGACCTGGATGGAGCCCAGAGACCTGGATGGAGCTTTAGGACTTGGATGGAGTCTTAGGGAATCGGATGGAGCCCAGAGACTCGGATAGAGCCCAGAGATGTGGATGGAGCCTTAGGGACCCAGATGGAGCCCAGAGATACGGATGGAGCCCAGACACCTAGATGGAGCCCAGAGACCCGTATGGAGCCCAGAGACTCGGATGGAGCCAGGAGTCCCGGATGGATCCTTAGGGACCTGGATGGAGCCCAGAGACCCGCATGGAGCCTTAGGGATGCAGATGGAGCCTTAGGGACCCAGATGGAGCCCAGAGACTCGGATGGAGCCCAGAGACCAGGATGGAGCTTTAGGGACCCGGATGTAGCTCAGAGACCTGGAGAGAGCCCAGAGACCTGGGTGGAGCCCTGGGACCCAGATATGGCCCTGGAGGGAGCCCTGGAGATCCGGATGTGGCCCTGGACCCTGGTGTGGCCCTGGGGACCCAGATGTGGCCCTGGGGACCCGTATGTAGCCCTGGGAAACCCGGGTAGAGCCCTGGGAGACTGGATGTGGCCCTGGGGACCTGGATGTGGCCATAGAGACCTGGATGTGGCTCTGGGGACCTGGATGTAGCCCTGGACCCGGGTGGAGCCCTGGGACACAGATGTTGCCCTGGAGGGAGCCCTGGAGACCTGGATGTGGCCATGGAGACCGGGATGTGGCCCTAGACACCACGATGTGGCCCTGGGGGACCCGGATGTGGCCCTGGAGACCCGGATGGAGCCCTGGGGAACCGGATGTGGCCCTGGAGACCCGGATGTGGCCCTTGGGACCTGGATGTGGCCCTTGGGACCTGGATGTGGCTCTGGAGATCAGGGTGGAGCCCAGAGACTGGGATGGAGCCCAGAGACTGGATGCAGCCTTAGGGACACGGTTGGAGCCCCGAAACCCGGATGGAGCCCAGCGACCCGGAAGTGGTCCAGAGACCTGGATGGAGCCTTAAGGACTCGGAAGGAACCTTAAGGACCCGGATGTAGCCTTAGTGACCCTGAAGGAGCACAGAGACCCGGATGGAGCCTTAGGGACCCGGATGTTTCCTTAGGGACCCGGATGGAGCCCAGAGACTTGGATTGAGCCCAGAGACCCGGATGGAGCCCAGAGATACAGATGGAGCCCAGAGACCCGATGGAGCCCAGAGACTCGGATGGAGCCAGGAGTCCCGGATGGAGCCCAGAGACCCGGATGGAGCCCTAGGGACCCAGATGGAGCCCAGAGACCCGGATGGAGCACTTAGACCCGGATGTGGCCCTGGGGACCAGGATGTGCTCCTGGGGACCTGGATGTGTCACTGCGGACACAAATGGAGCCCTGGGGAGCCGATATTGCCCTGGAGACCCGGAGTGTGGCCATGGGGACCCGGATGTGGCCCTGGGATCCTGGTGGAGTGTGACTGGCTGCCAGTGGAGTCGGGGAGAACCCCCCCAGTGTCACTCAGGGCTGATTTGACAGCCACCAGATGACAGAGCCCACCCCCTTGTCAGTGAACGGTGACTGACAGTGCAGGGAGACCCGGAGGTAGCCCCTGGGTTCCTCCACCAGCTCGCTCTGTCTTTTGACGGAACAATAAAAATCGTTTAAAATAAACGACTGGGACTGTGCCTGGGATGAGTTTATTCCATGAACAGGAAGCAGAGAAAGCTGGGGACGGCCGATTCTAGAATGTTCCGGAGCTTTCTAGAAATTCTGGAACAATCCAGACCATCTTGGATCAATCCAGAACGTTCTAGAATGTTCCGGAGCATGCTAGCGCAGTTCGCAGGTGGGAGGAGATGGTGAGGCGATCAGGGGCGGTTCTGGAATGGTCTAGAACGTTCTGGCACCTTCTCCAAGGGAGGCGTCCTCAGGGTGGACAGGTGTCTGTTGGAGAGAGAGGAAAGCCGAGTCAGCGCCGAGTCAGCGCCAAGTCAGCCCGGAAGCCGCCGAAGCCTCACCTGTGTCGGCCACACGCCGGATGTACTTCCGCGGGATCCCATTCTGCTCCGTGAGCCTCGCGTAGTCCTCTGGTGGGTCCTCATTTATGATATTCAATTTGACTGTGGCAAGAGTGGGCGCCGACTGAGTACGCTCGCTTTAGTGTGCGCCTACTGCATACACTCGCTTTAGTGACTGTATACGCTCACCCCATCTAGCGAGCGCCAACTGTATATGCTAGCGTTAGTGGGCACCGACTGTATATGCCCACCATGTCTAGTGGGCACTGACTGTATACACTCGCTTTATCCAGTGGGCACCGACTGTATATGCCTGGCCATGCAGCCCCCCTTTCCCCGTATACAGTCGGGCTCAGACTCTCGGGTGGTGGTGCGTATCCCTAGCGGGCACCGGCAGTGTACATGTGTGTGTGAGGGGGGCTCACCCACAAGGAAGCTGAGGCGGCTGGTCTTGCCTTTGGACCCCATGTTATTGATGAAGATGATTTGCCTAACGGGATCCAATTCGTGGAACTGGAAGGAGGTCTGGCCCTCGACTGTAGGGAGAGAGGTGGGTGTTCTGGATGTGCCGGGGCATGCTGGGACATTCTAGCGCATTCTGGAACATTCTAGAACATTGAGGAACTGGAGCATTCTGGGACATTTGCAGCATCCTGGAACATTTCTGGGAACATTCTCAAACATTCTGGAACACACCGGACAGTCCCTGGGGTCATCTGGAATTGTCTGGAACTTTCCGAAATGCTCTGTACTCACAGTCAGTGGTGTAGATGCCGTCTGCGTTCTTCTGGGCCACAACCCTGTGCGGGGTGCATACCTCGTTCTTCCTGAAGGAGAGACCGGGAACATGGCCGCTCGCTGTGGGCTCAACTGCTCCTGTCTGCTCTCCCTCTGGGCTCGCCTGGTCCACCATGGCCTGCTCTTTGACTCTGGGATCGGCTGCTCCTGTCTGCTCTCCCTCTGGGCTCGCCTGGTCCACCATGGCCTGCTCTTTGACTCTGGGATCGGCTGGTCCTGTCTGCTCTCTCTCAGCTCCATTACTCCCCTCTAGCCCACCTGTTCTCTGACTCTGGGCTCAACTGCTCCTGTCTACTCTTTCTCTCTCTGGCTCAGCTGGTCCACCATGGACTGCTCTTTGACTCTGGGATCGGCTGGTCCTGTCTGCTCACTCTCAGCTCCATTACTCCCCTCTAGCCCACATGCTCTCTGACTCTGGGCTCAACTACTCCTGTCTGCTCACTCTCCCTGGGCTCGGCTGGTCCCCCCTGGCTTGCTCTTTGACTCTGGGCTCAACTACTCCTGTCTGCTCTTTCTCAGCTCCATTACTCCCCTCTAGCCCACATGCTCTCTGACTCTGGGCTCAACTATTCCTATCTGCTCTCTCTCTGGGCTCGGCTGGTCGCCCTGGCCTGCTCTCTCTCTCTCTCTCTGGGATCGATTGGGCTTGGCGGCGCCTGTCTTCCCCGCTCTCTGGGCTCGATTGCTCCCCCTGGCTCTCTGTCTCTGGCCTCAGCTTGTCTCCCCTGGCCCCGCCCCTCACTTGACATAGAAGAAGACGTTCAGGGCGTTGCATTCCTCGTTGCACTCCATCTCGCGGAACAGCATCCGGAATGGCCCACCCTCCAGGATCATTTCCAGGTTGTCGGAGGCCATGGCGGAGGTGCGCCAGGGCCCGGAGAGCTGGGGAGGTGAAGAAATGACGCGAATTATGATACGGCTGAAGAAACAACGCGAATTAGTGATGCGAAGTAATGATGTGAAGAAATGATATGAATTCATGACGAGAATTAATACTGGGAACTAATGATGCAAATTTATGATACCTGGGCGGGGTCGACGTCCGCACAGGCCACGCCCACCGTGAGGGCGAGGAGGAGAGCCTTCGTCACCGTCATCTTCATCACCATCGTCTTCGTCGTCGTCTGGAGCCGGCGGGGACCCGGCGTCTATTTATTGCCAGGGCTGGGGGAGGAGTTGGCGGGGCCGAAGGTTGTGCAAACATCCTGGTGGACACCAGGGACGTTCCGGAACGGTCAGTGCTCCCAGGGAATTCTGGAGAGTCTGTCGTGCGTTCTTGGGCCTTGGAATTTTCCAGAACCCCTGGTGGGTGTTTCCAGGATTCCAGAATGTTCTAGAATGCCCAGGGAATGTCCTTGGAATCGCGAGGAATTCTGTGGAATGTTCCGGAACGTTCTAGAACACGCCCAGAGAGCCCGGCGCACGTCCTCGGGGCCTTAGAGTATTCTAGAGCGCCTGGTCTTGGAGTGTTCCGGAATACTGGCGGATGACGTAGAATTTTCTAGAATGTTCATAGGAAGCCCTGGACCGCTTGGAGAGTATCTTTGGGGTCTTGGAATGTTGTAGAATGTTCCAGTATGTTCCAGAGAACCCAGCGAGCGTCCTGGGAGGTCTGAGACCCTCTGCTGACGTGCTGGAAGTTTTCCGCAGCCCCGGTGGGCGCGGGATGTCACGTCAATGTCCGCAGGGCCAGGCCGGCACCAGGACGCCCGTCACACCCAGCCGGGAAACTTCTACTCAGACCCGGATCCCAGAATCCCCCCCAGACTCACTTGGTGATGTTCTGGTACATTCTAGAACACCTCGGAAAAAATTCTAAAAAAAATTCTCTTACTCACCTCGTGAAAGGTTACGGGCGGCTTCCACATGGCAGCGGTAGGATGCAGGTGTCCATGAGAAAAGACCAGACTGTGTCCGAGGAGGAGGAGGAGGAGGAGGATGAGGAGCTGGAGTCTGAGTCGGATGCGGAGGTGGAATGCGACCTGAGCAACATGGAGATCACCGAGGAGCTGCGCCGGTTACTTCGCGACGACTGAGAAGCACCGAGAAGAGCGACGTGAGTGCGCGCCTCTGTCTCCTCATCCCTCCTCTCTGCCCCGACATTTGCACTCTTTCTTCCCCGATATGTAAAGCTGTTTTATAGCTCCTCGTTTGGGGCACAGGTAATATTCCAAATCTGGCCCTAAGGCTGGGAACGGTGATGTAACGTGTCCGTTGTATTAGCTTCTAGACTTGTTTGAGTTCAAGGGACCTTCAAAAAAATTTATGGAAAAAGGATTGTGAAAAACTACACATGGACTTCAATCTTTTTTTGCACCAAAATTCCATTCTCTATGAATTTTTTTTTGACAGGCAGAGTGGACAGTGAGAGAGAGAGACAGAGAGAAAGGTCTTCCTTTTGCCGTTGGTTTACCTTCCAAGATGGCCGCCGTGGCGGGAGCTGTGCCAATCCGATGGCGGGAGCCAGGTGCTTCTCCTGGTCTCCCATGGGGTGCAGGGGCCAAGCACTTGGGCCATCCTCCACTGCACTCCCTGGCCACAGCAGAGAGCCGGGCTGGAAGAGGGGCAACCGGGGCAGAATCCGGCGCCCCGACCGGGACTAGAACCCGGTGTGCCGGCGCCGCAAGGCGGAGGATAGCCTAGTGAGCCGCTGCGCCGGCCTCTATGAATTTTTAAAAGCATGTTGGCTTCATCTACTTGAAAGGCAGAGCAACAGCAGAGTGGGGGGGAATCTGCTCTCTGCTGGTTACGGTCCACCCCCCAAATGCACACAATATACAGGGCTGGGCCAGGCCAAAGCCAGAGTGCCCAGGGGACACCCACATTCTGTTTCAGGATGCCAGTTCTAGTCCCGCCTCCACGTCCATTCCAGCTTCTGCTAACGCTCCTGGGAAGGCAGCAGGTGGTGGCCCAAGTCCTTGGGTCCCTGCCACCCACGTGGAAGACCCCAATGGAGTTCCACTCTCCTGGCTTCAGCCTAGCCCAGCCCTGGCTGTTGTGGACATAAGATTGATTGATTGATTTGAGAGGCAGAGTTACGGGGGGGGGCGGGGTTCCATCCATCCACTGGTTCACCTCCCCAGATGGTCACAACCACCAGAGCTGGACTGATCCAAAGCCAGGAGCCAGGAGCTTCTTCTGAGTCTCCCACGCGGGTGCAGGGTCCCAAGGACTTGGGCCATCTTCCACTGCTTTCCAAGGCCACAGCAGAAAGCTGGATCAGAAGTGGAGCAGCTGGAACTCGAACCCGCGCCCATACGGGATGCCGGCGCCACAGGCAGAGGCTTAACGTGCTAACACCACAGCCCCAGGCTTATGTCACAGCTTTGGAAAAAGAAAAATGTTGGGCTTATTCCTGCTGTCCTTATCTACAGGTAGGATGACATGTTTTTCCTGCCAGAGATTGGTACTTTTTTAGTGGAAACTATAAGTAAGCATGAAAGCAAACCACAGTCATCTTAAAGGCCATTTGGAATTTTCTGCTTATTTAAAATAAACCGGGATAATTGTCAATTTTAAAAAAGTGGTGTGAATGAAATGAAAATAAAATCATGAAATGTGTCCTGCAGCCAAAGAACAAAAGGCAGGAGGTAAGTTACGGATATGGTTAACCAACCAGCCCTCTTCTTCTGTTTTGCCTTTACCAGGTAGGATTCTAAAGATGTAGGTAATAGGCCGGCGCCTGCAGCTCACTAGGCTAATCCTCCGCCTAGCGGCGCCGGCACACCAGGTTTCTAGTCCAGGTCGGGGGCGCCGGATTCTGTCCCGGCTGCCCCTCATCCAGGCCAGCTTCTGCTGTGGCCAGGGAATGCAAGTGGAGGATGGCCCAAGTGTCGGGCCCTGCACCCCATGGGAGACCAGGGAAAAGCACCTGGCTCCTGCCATCGCATCAGCGCGGTGCGCCGGCCGCAGCAGCCATTGGAGGGTGAACCAACGGCAAAGGAAGACCTTTCTCTCTGTCTCTCTCTCACTGTCCACTCTGCCTGTCAAAAAATAAAATAAAAAAAATAAAATAAAGTAAAAATAAGAAAAGAGAGAAGTGAGCTGGGTTCAAGACCATGTGCGCCCCGAGTCGCAGAAAACAGGACGCACACAGGCGAGTCCAGCCCAGACGGAGGGCGAGGTCGGCGGCGAGGCTTCCGGGAGTTGTAGTCTCCCCGCTCCGCCCTGTCCAAGCCTACTGTGGCTGGACGGTGTGAAACCAGGACATACGGCCCACAGATGATAAAAGAAAAATGATAATTTAGGTCAGGAAAATTAGATCAAGGAGCTTTATTTAAAAGAAAAGAGAGAAGAGAGCTGTGTGGAATCGCGGTTCAGAACCACTTCGCCCCGAGCCGCTGAAACAGGAAGCACACGCCCGCCCAGCGTCTGATTGGTCCCCGCGTCTGAGACGGGGGGGAGCCATTGGCTGTGAACTCGTCATTTCTGCGCCCAGAACACCCCCCCCTGAGGCTCCACTGCCTGCTCTCGACTGCACCGGAACCTGTCAGTCTGCCGCCAGGACCCCACCCCCTTAGCTCCCCTGCCTGCCCCTGATGGGACGGGGAACCTCTCGGTCTGCAGCCAGAAACCCACTCCCTTAGGATCCACTGAATGCCCCTGACTGATGAGGAACCTGTAGCTAGCATCTAGAACCCCCACTCGCCAGCTCCCACATTGCCCCTGACGGTACTTGGAACTGTCAGGCTGCGGCAGAAACCAGGGTCCTTAGTTGCCCTGCCTGTCCATACTGGGCCGTCCATACTGTCAGTCTGCAGCCAGAACCCCACCCTCTTAGGCTCCACTGAGTGCCCCTGACAGGAACCGGACACCTGTCAGTCAGCACATAGAACCCCACCTTGTTAGTCCCCAGCATGCCCCTGAGAGGACTGTGACTGTCAGTCTGTGGCCAGAACCCCACATCCTCAGCTCCCCCTGCCTGCCCCTGATGGGACCAGAAACCTCAGTCTGTTCAGAACTCCACCGCCTTAACTCCCTGCCTATCCATTCACGACCAGGAACCTGTCAGTCTGCACCACCATAACCCCACCCCCTTAAGCTCCACTGAGTACCCCTGACTGGACAGGAACCTGTCAGTCTGCAGCCAGAAACCCAACACCTTCGCTCCCTCGCGGGTCCACTGACTGAACCAGGAATCTGTCAGTTTGCTATCAAAACCCAGCCCCTTAGCTCTCCTGACGCCCCTAACGGCACCCGGAACCTGCCAGTCTCCCGCCAGAACCCCACCTCCTGGGCTCCCCTGCCCGCCCCTGACGGGCACAGGAACCTGTCAGTCTGCCGCCAGAACTGCACCTGCTTAGCTCCCCTGCCTGCCACCGATGACAATGGGAAACCTGTTGGTCTGCGGCCAGAAACCCACGTCTTGGTTCCCTGCCTGCCCCTGACTGGACAGGGAAACTGCGGTCTGCGGCCCAAACCCCACACCATGAGCTCCCTCGCCTGCCCATGACAGGACCAGGAACCTGTCAGACTGTGACCAGAACCACACCTCCTTAGACCCCTGCCTGTCCCTGATGGGATAGGGAACCTCTCAGTCTGCAGCAGCCAGAAACCACTCCCTTAGGATCCACTGAGTGCCCCTGACTGGATCAGGAACTGTCGCAGAGTGACAGGTTCTGGGTCAGTCAGGGGCAGGCAGGAGAGCTAAGGACTTGGGGTTCCTGCCGCAGACTGACAGGTTCCCGGTCCTGTCAGGGGCAGGCAGGGGAGCCCAAGACGGCGTTTCTGGCCCTAGACTGGCAAGCTACCAGTCCCATCAGCGGCAGGCAGGGGAGACAAGGAGGTGGGGTTCTGGCCCCAGACGGACAGGTTCCCAGTTCCATCAAGGGCCGGCAGGGGATCCAAGAGGTGGGCTTGTAGTCCTAGACTGTCAGGTTCTCAGGCCAGAAAGAGGCAGTCAGGGGAGCCAAGGAGGTGGGGTTCTGGCCGCAGAATGACAGGCTCTGGTTCCAGTCAGGGGCAGGCAGGGTGGTGTAAGAGGATGGTGTTCCTGCCACAGACATACAAGTTCCCTGTCTAGTCAGGGACAAGCCGGGGAGCTAAGCATGTGGGGTTCTGGCCGCACATGGACAGGGTTCCCGGTCCATATGGGCCAGGCAGGGAAGCTAAGGCGTTCTGGCTAAGGTTCTGGCAGCAGCATGACAGGTTCCTGTCCCATCGCGGGGCAGTCAGGGGAGCCAAGGAGGTTGGTTCTGGCCACAGACTGACAGGTTCAGGTCTATCAGGGGCAGGCAGGGGAGCTGAGGACATGGGGATCTGGCCACAGGCTGACAGGTTCCCGTTGCTGTCAGGGGAGCCAATGAGGTGGGGTTCTGGCTACAGAGTGACAGGTTCCTGGCCCCCTCAGGGAAAGTCAGGGGAGCCACGCAGGTTAGGCTCTGGTCGAGACTGACAGGTTCCGAGTACCGTCACAGGTAGGCAGGGGAGCCTAAGGAGGCGGGGGTTCTGGCCACAGGTGACAGTTGCGGGTCCATCAAGGGTAGGTAGGGGTGCTGATGGGGTGGGGTTCTGGCTGCAGACTCACAAGTTCCTGGTCCAGTCAGGGGCGGGCAGCGTAGCCTACGGAGGTGGGGTTCTGGCCACAGAATGACGACAGGTCTCTGGTCCCATCAGGAGTAGGCAGGGAGCTAAGGACATGGGGTTCCTTCCGCAGACTGGACTGACAGATTCCAGGTCCAGTCAGGGGGCAGGCATGGGAAGCTAAGGGCGTTCTGGCTAAGGTTCTGGGCCAGCAGACATGACAGGTTCCTGGTCCCATGTCAGGGACAGTCAGAGGAGCCAAGGAGGTTGGGTTCTGGCCACAGACTGACAGGTTCCTGGTCTAGTCAGGGGCAGGCCTGGGAGCTTAAGGGGTGGGTTCTGTCCGCAGACTGAAAGGATCCAGTCCCATCAGGGGGACTCACTGGAGCCTCAAGGGTTGGGGTTCTGGCTGCAGGACTGACGGGTTCCCGGTTCCCATCAGTGGCGGTCAGGGGAGCCAAGGAGGGTGGTTCTGGCCTCAGAGTGACACGTTTCGGTCCAGTGACGCCAGGAAGGGGAGTTAGCTACGTGTGGTTCTGGCCACAGACTGACAGATTCCTGGTCCAGTATGGTCAGGCAAGGGAGCTAAGGGGGTGGAGTTTTGGCCGCAGACTGACTGGTGCCCGGTCTGTCAGGAGCACTCAGCAGAGACTAGAGGGTGGGGTTCTGGCTGCAGACTGACAGGTTCCTGCTCCAGTTAGGGGCAAGTCAGGGGAGCAAAGAAGTTAGGGTTCTAGTGGCAGACTGACACATTCCGGGTCCATCTGGGGCGGGAAATGAGCCCAGGAGCTGGGGTTCTAGCCGCAGACTTACAGGTACTGGGTCCAACAGAGGCAGGCAGTGGAGCTAAGGATGTGGGGTTCTGGCTGCACACTGACAGGTTCCGGTCCAGTCAGGGGCAGTAAGGGCAGCTAAGGACATGGGGTTCTGGCCGCAACTGACAGGTTCCCAGTCCGTCAAGGGCAGGCAGGGGAGCCAAAGTGGGTGGGGTTCTGGCCACAGACTCATGGGTTCCATTTCCAACAGGGGTAGGCAGTGGAGCTAAGGATGTGGGGTTTGGCTGCACACTGACAGGTTCCTGGTCCAGTCAGGGGCAATAAGGGGAGCTAAGGACATGAAGTCTGCATGCAGACTGACAGGCTCCTGGTCCCCTCAGGGGCAGCCAAAGGAGCTAAGGATGTGGGGTTCTGGCGGCAGACTTTCAGGTTCCATGTCCGTGTGGAGTAGGACAGGGAGGCAGGTGGTGGGGTTCTTTCTGCAGACTGCAGGTTCCAGGTCTATCAAAGGCAGGCGGTCTGCTACGGACGTGGGGTCTGGCCACAGACTGACACGTTCCCGGTCCTGTCAAGAGCACTCAGTGGAGCCAAGCTGGGTGGGGCTTTGGCTGCAGACTGACAGGTTCCTGGTCCAGTCAGGGGCAGGCAGGGAGCTAAGGACGTGGGATTCCTGCCGCAGACTGACAGGTTCCAGGTCGAGTCAGGGGCAGACAGGTGAGCCTCTGGTCGCAGACTGACATGACCCGGTGCTGTTAGGGGCAGGCAGGGGAGCCTAAGGAGTTTGGGTTCTGGAGTCAGACTGACAGGTCCCGGTGCAGGATGTCCAGGAAGGGGAGCAGATGGAGTGGGGTTCTGCTCAGAGACTGAGAGGTTCCTGGTCCCATCAGGGAAAGGCAGGGGAGCTAGGAGGCGGGGTTCTGGACGCAGACTGACAGGGTTTCAGTTCTGTCAGTGGCAGGTCAGGGAAGCCATGGAGGTGGGGTTCTGGTGGCAGATGACAGGTTCCCGGTCCAGAACGGCCAGGCAGGGGAGGTAAGGGGTGGGGTTTTGGCGGCAGACTGACAGATTCCCGGTCCCATCAGGGGCAGGAAGGGGAGCCAGGAGGTGGGGTCTGGCCAGAGGCTGAGAGGTTCTGGGTCCATTAGGGGGAAGGTCAGTGGAACCAGCATGTGGGGTTCTGGCCGCAGAGTGACGGATTCCACCTCCATCAGGGGCAGGCAGAGGAGCTAAGGCGGTTGGTTTCCGGTCACACACTGACAGGTTCCCATGCTGTCAGGGGCAGTCAGCGGAGCCAATGACGTGGGGTTCTGTCAGCAGGCTGACAGGTTCACGGTCCCGTCAGGGCCACTCAGTGGAGACTAAGGGGGTGGGCTCTGGCTGCTGGACGACAGGTTCCTGGTCCCCTCAGGGGCAGGCAGGTGAGCCAAGGACGTGAGATTCCTGCCGCAGATGGAAAGGTTCCCAGGTTGGCCACAGACGGAAAGGATCCTGGACCACAATGTCCAGCATGAGAGCTAAGGGGGAGTGTCTGGTCGCAGGCTGACAGGTTCCCTGTGCACTATGGCAAGGGGTAAGGTGAAAAGGTCGTTAAGGTGAAGAGGTCCTGTCAAGATAGCCACTGAGGGAAAAAGGTCATGCCAAGATGGCCGCCGAGGAGAAAAGGTCATGCCAAGATGGCCGCTGACCACAGAAATTGCCTGGCACCAGGCCGTGATTGGATGGCTTCTGAAACCACATGACAACAGAGGAAACCACATGACAACAGAGCCTGAGTGATGGCAGGCCGTGACTGGATGGTTTTCAGAACCTGCCTGGCACAAGAGCCTGCCTGGCACAGGCTGTGATTGGATGGCTTTGGAAACCGCCTTGGCCACAGGCCTGTGATTGGTCAGGGCCTAGACCGCCCCTTGACTGGATGGGCTGTCTTGGCCATAGAAGCAGCTGTAGCAACTGAAATAAACGAGTCTGCTGGCTGCCCGCCTCAGGACTGCTCTCACCCGCCTCCCGGAGTCCGTGGGGTGACTCCGCACCTCTTGCCCCACCACGCTCCTCCTCTCAGAACAGGTTCCCCGTCCAGTCGAGAGCAGGCAGTGGAGCCTCAGGGGTGTTGGGGTTCTGGGCGCAGAATGACGAGTTCACAGCCAATGGCTCCCCCCGTCTCAGGACGCGGGGGACCAATCAGACGCTGGGCAGGCGTGTGCTTCCTGTTTCAGCGGCTCGGGGCGGAAGTGGTGCTGAACCGCGATTCCACACAGCTCTCTTCTCTCTTTTCTTTTAAATAAAGCTCCTTGATCTAATTTTCCTGCCCTACATTATCATTTTGCTTTTATCATCTGTGGGCCAAATGTCCTGGTTTCACCACCGTCCAGCCACAGTAGGCTTGGACAGGGCGGAGCGGGGAGACTACAACTCCCGGGAAGCCCGCCGCCGACCTCGCCCTCCGTCTGGCTGGACTCGCCTGGGTGACACGTCGGGCAGCCAATGGCTTCCCCTGTCTCAGACCCGGGGGCCAATCACAGGCCGGGTTTGTGTGTGCGTCCTGTTTCTGCGACTCCGGGCGGACATGGTCTTGAAGCCAGCTCACTTCTCTCTTTTCTTACTTTTACTTCATTTTATTTATTTTTTTATTTTATTTTTTGACAGGCAGAGTGGACAGTGAGAGAGAGAGACAGAGAGAAAGGTCCTCCTTTGCCATGGTTCACCCTCCAATGGCTGCTGCGGCCAGCGCACCGCGTTGATCTGATGACAGGAGCCAGGTGCTTCTCCTGGTCTCCCATGGGGTGCAGGGCCCAAGGACCTGGGCCATCCTCCACTGCACTCCCGGGCCACAGCAGAGAGCTGGCTGGAAGAGGGGCAACCGGGACAGAATCCGGTGCTCAAATGGGATGTTAGTATTGTAGGCCAGGGTGTTAAACCACTGCACCACAGCACTGGCCCCATAAATAAAATCTTTAAAAAAATGCACATTGGACAGTTAACTCAGAAATCAGGAAAAGTGACCAGCTAACATGTGAAAACTTCACAATTTAGGTTTTCAAATTAATGAAAATATAATTATAAATTCATCAATATTGTGTCATAGAGTTCTGAAATTTTACTCTTGTGAGGATTTTGTAATCTGTTTCCCTTCTATTTGTTTATTGATTATTTCTAGAAGATTGCTGTGTGCTATCATTCATATTTTTATTTTTTCTTTATTTTAAAATTATTGTTTTAATTGCCCATATTTTTGTGGTATAGTATGGTAATAGATTCATATATACAAATGTGCAATAATTAAATCAGGCTCAGATTTTTTTAAAGAATGGCTTTTTTTTGAGAAAAAGAGAAAGAGCTACCATTTGTTGTTGCACTCATGTTCTTAAGATTTCTTTGAAACACAGAGAGAAAGAGAGAGGGTGACATGGAGAAGGACATCTTCCACCACCACTTCTTTCAACAAGTGGTTATAACAGCCAGGGCTTGGGTAGGTGGAAGCCTGCAGCCAAGAACACCATTTAGCTCTCCTGTGTGGTCATCAGGTACATTAACAGGAAGCTGCATCAGAACTGGAGCGGTGATGACTTTGGCATGTGATATAGGCAACCCAGCCCACTGTATCAGATTGCTTATTCCTAGGCTTGTTTCTACTGAAATTGGGCCCGATGGTGGTTGGTTGAGAGAAGCAGTAGAAAATGACTCAGCCTAGAGTTTTTTGTGGCCCTTGGGGAAATAAAGCAACAAAAGGGCAATCTCTCTGTATTTCTGTCTGGCTCGTTTCTCTCTGTCTCTGTAAGTCTGACTTTTCAATAAATAAATCTTGAAAAAAATCACTGAGATTTTTATGAGAACAAAGAACATTTTTTGCAACTCTTTTATTCTCCTCAGAGTATGCACAAGTAATCAAAATGCTGGGAAATGGACGATTAGAAGCAATGTGCTTTGATGGTGTAAAGCGATTATGCCATATTAGAGGAAATTGAGAAAGAAGGTAGGTGTATAGATTTCTTTATTATAAAATTTGCTGCAAAGAATTACTTTACTTCAGGTATACAACTGTTTGCCAAGCAGTTCAATTTTGTAAATTGCCAAAGACTTAAAATGAAACAGTTATTTATTTGAGAACACAAATTAAACTTCTCAAAAGATTCTATTTGTATAAAGAATTATATATTGTAGCTGTAAATGTTTACTGGATAGTTAATATAGAAATGATAAATGATTTCTACAGTACTACATTCAACTAAATGTTAATGTGAAAAAAACAATTTTTAGTTTAAAAGTGACAAAAGAGATGGGTAATTCATTCAGTATATGTGTTACATTTTAGTTAAATAGAACTGCAAATGGTATGAGAAATTTGAATGTGAAGTCCTATAGATTCCTTTTGAAATGTATACATTGTTTAATGATAGTATCCATTTCACTTGAACACATTTTGAAGAGACTTCCTATGTGTGGATTTCATATTTTGGGTACCAGAATTTCTTTTTTAATTTCTTTCTGAACTGTTGGAAAACCCTTTGTAGTATGTGTTTTGTGGAAAGATTCATTTAACATTAAAATCATCTTCAAATGAAAATAATATGCTGTAAAATCTGTTTCATAGGTTTGGATAAATACCTCAGACATTATTTTGATTGGTCTCCGAGAGTATCAGGTAAAAACTAAGTTTAAATTTATGTTGCAGCCTCCATAGCAAGTCATTAATTGTTAGGAAACACAGAATTAACATTGTTGGGCAATTCTAGGCCAGTGTGTTTTTAACCATTCTGCTGTTTGCATTTTGTTTAACACTATAGTGTTTTTACTACAATTTATTAATCGTGTATTTGTTTTATTTTTTGTAAGAAGACTTGGTCAATACAGTTTCTATTTATATATGTATTTATTTAAATATTTATTTATTTATTTGAAAGGCAGAGTTACAGAGAGCCCGAGACAGAAGCAGTGAGTGAGAAAGAAAGGCCTTATTTGAAAGATTTACAGAGAGAAGCAGAGAAAGAGACATCTTCCATCCGTTGGTTCACTGTCCAGTTGGCTGCAACAGCCAGAGCTCCACGATCCAGGAGCCAGGTGCAGCTCTGGCTGTTGCAGCCAACTGGACAGTGAACCAACATTGGAAGACGTCTCTGTCTCCTCCTCTTTCTCTGTATATCTGTCTTTCAAATAAATAAAATAAATCTTTAAAAAAAGAAAAAAACTTCGCAGAATGCACAGAGCAGTCAAAGCTGGAATAAGCCAAAGCCAGGAACCTGAAACTCAATCTAGTTTTCCTATAGGATTTGAGGGTTGTCCCAGCCTCTTTAGTTTTCCAAAAACCTGTTCTTAAGTCATAATTTGTTGTTTTTTGAAACTGAATATTTTGTATGTCATTATGATGTTTTGTTACTACTGCTTGTTTTTAGTGATTTATGAAAAATAGAAGATTGTTTCCCTGTCCTACTTTATTCAGATGAAATTACAGATGTCCTATATATTTCTTTTTTTTTTTTTGACAGGCAGAGTGGACAGTGAGAGAGAGAGACAGCGAGAAAGGTCTTCCTTTGCCGTTGGTTCACCCTCCAATGGCCGCCGCTGCAGCCGGCGCACCGTGCTGATCCGATGGCAGGAGCCAGGATCCAGGTGCTTTTCCTGGTCTCCCATGGGGTGCAGGGCCCAAGCACCTGGGCCATCCTCCACTGCACTCCCTGGCCATAGCAGAGAGCTGGCCTGGAAGAGGGGCAACCGGGACAGAATCAGGCGCCCCGACCGGGACTAGAACCCGGTGTGCCGGCGCCGCAAGGCGGAGGATTAGCCTATTGAGCCACGGCGCCGGCTCAGATGTCCTATATTTTTAATTATTTAAAATTATATATTTTTTCTATTTGTTTTAGAATTTTTTACTAGAGTACGGGTGGGTAAAGGAAGAAAGCAGTGCAGTGTTATGAGTTTTACAAGTTGTTTATTTCTAAGGATAACAAAGCAGACGTAATTTTAAAATACAACGCAGATGAAGCTAGAAGTCTGAAGGCATATGGCGAGCTTCCTGAACATGGTAATGTCTATTATTATTAATCTACTCTGTCATAGATATTTTCTTTTTTTTCTTTTTTTATTTTTGTTTTATTTATTTATTTATTTATTTATTTATTTATTTATTTATTTATTTATTTATTTATTTTGGCAGGCAGAGTGGACAGTGAGAGAGAGACAGAGAGAAAGGTCTTCCTTTGCCGTTGGTTCACCCTCCAATGGCTGCTGCGGCCGGTGCACCGCGCTGATCCGATGGCAGGAGCCAGGATCCAGGTGCTTCTCCTGGTCTCCCATGGGGTGCAGGGCCCAAGCACTTGGGCCATCCTCCACTGCACTCCCGGGCCACAGCAGAGGGCTGGCCTGGAAGAGGGGCAACCGGGACAGAATCCAGCGCCCCGACCGGGACTAGAACCCGGTGTGCCGGCGCCGCAAGGCGGAGGATTAGTCTACTGAGCCGCGGTGCCGGCTATGTCATAGATATTTTCATTCTTTGTGTTTAGTTGAAGGAATTTTCATGGAGTTGTCTGTGACATTAAATATATACACTTTCTGGTGAGTTTGTAAGTTTGCAAAACTTTGAAACCTGGATTTGTATAAACGTCTGTCAAAGTAACACATTATTAGCATTTTTCCATTTAACATTTCTCAGCCGACTCATAGTTTTCATTTTCTTAAAAAGATTTTATTTATTTATCTGAGAGGTAGAGTTGCAGACAGTGAGAGGGAGAGACACAGAGAAAGATCTGAAAATCAATTGAAATTCTTTGCATTTGAGGAAGTGCCGATGTCTGTGAATTAGTCTAGCACCTCCTTTTCTCTTTTATTATGTATTTATTTTAAAAAGATTTATTTATTTATTTGAAAGACAAAATTACAGAGAGACATAGAGATGAGACAGAGAGAGAGAGGTCCTCCACCCACTGATTCACTCTCCAATTGGCCGCAATGGCCAGAGCTGTTCTGATCTGAAGCCAGGAGCCAGGAGCTTCCTCTGGGTCTCCCATGTGGGTGCAGGGGCCCAAGGACTTGAGCCATCTCCAACTGCTTTCCCAGGCCAGAGCAGAGAGCTAGATCAGAAATGGAGTAGCCAGGACTCGAACTGGTGCCCATATGGGATGGTGTCGCTGCAGGCAGATGCTTAGCCCAGTATGCCACAGCACCAGCTATGCGTCACTGTTATTTCTTAAATGATAAACATGATTTGACTAAATCTTGCTCTGGTTTGCTAAGTTTCTCCAGTAGTTGTAGAACTAGTTGTTTTAATCTCATGATGTTTTATACTTCATGTGACTACATGTTGTTTAGTCATACTCATTTGATGTTTTAAAATTGTTAAATTTTTAAAATGTTATTAAAATTATGTTGCACTGAACAAAAGTGCAGCACATATATTCTCTGTTGTAATGACTTAGGAATAGATGAATTTCTGGGGGATTTTGTTGTTAGATTGCTTTATATAGCTTCATAAAGCAATATATATATATTATTTTTTTTTGACAGGCAGAGTGGACAGTGAGAGAGAGAGACAGAGAGAGAAAGGTCTTCCTTTGCCGCTGGTTCACCCTCCAATGGCCGCCGCTGCAGCCGGCGCACCGCGCTGATCCTGGCAGGAGCCAGGAGCCAGGTGCTTTTCCTGGTCTCCCATGGGGTGCAGGGCCCAAGCACCTGGGCCATCCTCCACTGCACTCCCTGGCCATAGCAGAGAGCTGGCCTGGAAGAGGGGCAACCGGGACAGAATCCGGCGCCCCGACCGGGACTAGAACCCGGTGTGCCGGCGCCGCAAGGTGGAGGATTAGCCTATTGAGCCACGGCGCCGGCTCTAAAGCAATATATTTTGCTCCTAATAGCAGAACTTTGGTTGAATGGAAGGTTGGCCTATAATAAGACTCTTGCGGTTACTCATTTTAATAACATTTTAATTGTGTAATGAATGTTTTTTATGCATTTATTATTTATTTAGCTAAAATCAATGAAACCGATACATTTGGTCCTGGAGATGATGATGAAATCCAGTTTGATGATATTGGAGATGATGATGAAGACATTGATGATGTAAGTACATGACCCTAAAAGTTGAGGGGGTGTGTTTGCTAATAATGTTTAGTGCTTAATGCATAATGGAAATGCTGTGAATTTGAATATATTATTAGAAACAATCTAGCCAATCTAGGTGTTTATACTTGGACAAGCACTTTCTGAAAAGTAATTATTAACTTTCCCAGTGGATATTGCATGGTTACAGTTTGTATAAGCAGAGTATCTAAATAGATATTTCTGTTAAATAAAATAGTAGAAGATTTTTGTTTGAACTAACTTAGTGATATACTGAAATTGCTGCTTTTTTTAAAGGTTTATTTGAGATGCAGAGTTACAGAGAGGTATGAGAGAGAGAGACAGAGGTCTTCCATCTTCTGGTTCACTCCCCAAATGTCTGCAATGGCTGCATCTGTGCTGAGCTGAAGCCAGGAGCCAGGAGCTTTTTCCATGTGGTGCAGGGGCTAATTTACTTATTTTGAAAGAGATGTGAAGAGAGACAGAGAGAGACAGGATCTTCCATTTGCAGATAGCTGCAGCAGCCAGTGCTGGTCTAGGTAGCTTCATTTGGATCTCCCATATGGGTGGCAGGGCCTTCTGCTTGGGCCATCTTTAGCTGGATTTCACAGGCCATTAGCAGGTAGCTGGATCAGATACGGAGCAGCATGGATACTGCTCTTCAAGGCAGAAGCTTAGCCCACTATTCCACAGTGTGCTGGCCCTACTGCAGACTCTTAAAGCCTGATTGTGGAGACAGATATTATGGAGCATGTAATAGGAAAATACTAATTTCTTTGTGAGGCATTGTTATTGCCCAGATCCTTGGTTTGGTCTTGTTGCATGTTTATTTTGTGCAAACTTAAAAAAGTGATGAGGACACAGAACTGAATGCCTTGCTACTGTTCTGTTGTTAACTCAATTTAAATGAAACATCCTGATTTTCTGTTTATCTATTAAAATAACTATATAGCTTACATTTCAATCTAGATTTTTTCTTACCACAGTGCAACAAAATAGTTCAGAAAAAAAATCTGCATAGTTGCACACACAAACAATGCACACATAGAAAAACACAAAATGATTTTTTGCAGTTGTTTTTGACCAAGTTCATGCAATATAATAACCAGAGTTTCCAAAAATTATGAAGGCTAGTATCTTTGTGTATGTGCATTAAAAAATTTTAAACACAAAGTAATCTGCTGGTTTTATATAAGTTTAATATATAGTTTATACTATATATCTTAATCTATCTTAAAACATACAGAACTTCCTTTGCAGATCCTAGATACGATGGATTCCCAAGGGTAGAAAGTATTAACAGTTAATTTCTTTGTCAAGCATCAAAAGTGTAACTATCATGGATTCAGGGTAGATTTGTGCATTTTTATAAGATTTTACTTTTCCTTCATTACCTAAAATCCTAACAACTTCTGGATCATTTTTCTGGGAGGTTTATAGGTTATATAATTTTGCTCCTGTGACTAATCACTCAGAGAACAGATTTGGGTAGGACTGTGCCTCATCTAATTGTTAAAGGACAGAAGGGTATACTGAACTTTTAAGGATATTTCCCATAGTAGAACATCTGAAACAGAAAGATTTTACTAACAGTAGATAGGAATTGAGAAAATCTAATGTATAATCTATTTCATTTAAAAGGAATTTGACATGTAATCCTGAAGAGATTCCTATGTTACAATAATTATTTCTTCATGGGTCTCTTTCTTTTCACTTACAGATCTAAATTGAATTCAGTTTTCATTTTCTGAAGACATTAACTGGGAATTTTGACCATCAACTTAAGAAGAATAGAACTTTATTTACCATGAGTATTGTTTATTAAAACAAATTGTCTTAATTCCGTTTTTTTTTTAATGTATTTACTATACTATATTTCTTTAAAAATTGATGTTGAACCATCTTAGGTGACATATTAATTCTTTATTTTTATATAATGAGACTTAGAAATAAAACATTTTTAAAAAGAGAAAGAAATGCCTTTTCTACCATTGACAGTCACAGTTGCAAGAAATTGATGTTTAATCAGAATTGAAAATCAAAATTGAAAGTCATAGATTTGTCTGGAATAGTATTTAACTAATTTCTATAGTCTATGGACTTGTTCTGTATCTTTCAGAAATATATTTATGGTCTCTATAACATTTAAGAATGATCAAAATATACTTTGGAATGGTGTCAGCTTAAGTATTTTTATACTGAGTTTGTTACCTTTTATATTTTTGTAACTATTTGTTTTCATCCTTGTAAATCCATTTGTAAAATGCAGTTTTCAAAATAAGGATGTATGTTACAGTTTTGAATTTATAAGACTTGTGGCTCCAGAAATAGTATATTGAAACTGGAAGAAGTAGCATAGTAATTGATGCCATTTTCTTTAGCATGCATGGAAAAATTGTCAAGATGGTAAGGTACATCGAGTATTTTTTACTCTATGAAAAGTATGCTAAAAGGTGAAATTTTATTTATAACAGTCATCCATTGTAATCCAGTTTTAAGCTTCATAAACAGATGAATTCAGTATTTAAGTGGAAAACTAACTTCTTAGTAAATTTTTTAAACCAAAAAATTGTAAATCTTTTCCTGAACTTGGAGTATGGTATTCTTCCTGTGTACACAAAACTTCCTGTCATTTTCAATGTAATGGGACATCTGTCTTCACAAGAAGACTGGAACCTCATTTTCCAAGAACACAATGGAGCTTTATTATCTCAGAATGCAGTAAGGCATCACTTTTCCCAGAGGGCAAGGGAACTGCCCAACCCCAGAAGGCAGGGTGTGATGACAGAATTGTTAATAAGGTGAGGGACTCCATGGTTGGAAACATGCAGAAGTAAAGGAGACAAGGAGAGAGGAGAAAATAGTTGAGGATTGCAGGTGCTGAGAAGAAAGGATTTGAAATGATAATATACTGCTATAGAATTCACCTGTATTCCATTCCCAAACCACCCAAAGCTAAAAGGTGAGCTTGAGATGGACATTTCCTTATTGCTTCAAAAAGCAATGAAAAACATGTAAGTTTCATTTTTATGCATTGTTTTTGCACTGAGTACTGTATATCAGAGAAAACATATTTGTCTTTTAGGAACTGCCTTATTTCATTACGCAACATGATCTCAAGTCACATCCATTTTGTTAAAAAGACAGGCTTTCATTCCTTTTTATGCATGAGTAGTATTCCATAGTGTATATTTAACAGAATTTTAAAATTCAGCATGAGTTGATGGATAAGTTGATTGATTCTATATGTGAGGTATCATAAATTGAGCTGTCATACTCATAGTAGTGCAAATATCTTCATTCATGGATATTTTTCTATCATCTGTGTACCATTTATCCGTTTGCTGCAGGAAGTTTTCTCCCATGATATACAAAAAAGATCACGTGTTCACAGTTCAAACAGTCTTCAGAACATACCGGTTCTCATTTGGAATATTTGGAAGATGCATGGTTACAAGTTGTCATAGGCATTTTCTCTGAGAAAAACTTTATAAACAGTTTTCTCTCATGTTATTTTACTGTTTAAAGTTTTCTGCCATTGATTGGCAAACAAATATGATTCAGCCATGTGGTTTGTGTGTCTCCCAGGTGGTTGCAGCAAGTGCACAAGGTCCTGTAGTGTCCCCAGGAACTTGCTATGGTTGCAGCTTGAGCAGCTTAATGAATGGATGGGTGAGCAGGAAACTTCCCTGAGAGCCTCTCTTGGGATTGTAACACTATTCTGAATTGAAATACCCAGCAGAATGGCAGTGTACTTCACAACATTAATAAGAAATGAAATGAAAAATATAAATTTATGGTGCCAGTGCTGTGGCATAGTGGGTAAAGCCGCCGCTGCAGTGCCGGCATCCCATATGGGTGCTGGTTCTAGTCCCAGCTGCTCTTCTTCTGATCCAGCTCTCTGCTGTGGCCTGGGAGAGCAGTAGAAGATGGCCCAAGTGCTTGGGCCCCTGCACCCGCATGGGAGACCTGGAGGAATCTCCTGGCTCCTGGCTTCAGATCTGCTCAGCTGTGGATGTTGTGGCCATCTAGGGAGTGAACCAGCGGATGGAAGACCTCTCTCTCTGTCTCTACCTCTCTCTGTAACTGTCTCAAGTTTGATTGCTCATGGCTGCCTCTGTGCCACTTTCTGACTTCTGTATGTCTGTCTGAGGTTTCATTGGCCTTACCTCCGTCTGTTAGTCTGTGGGTTCAACTGATTCTACCTTCTCTCTGTTTCAGGTTTTATTGCCCATGGCTGCGTCTGTGTTACTGCCTCTCAGAGCTGTTTTCTCTCCTTTAGATTTGTTCTGACTTGTCTGTCTCAGGTTCGAGTGGCTATGTGTGTATGGGTTTGATTAATTCTTGCTTTCTGTGTCTAAGTTTTGATTGACCATGCCTGCCTGTGACTGACTGTGGGTTTGGTTGTAGTACTCTGTCAGGTTTCTTTCTTTTTTTTTTTTTTTTAATTTATAGATTTTATTTATTTGAGAAGCAGAGTTAGAGAGAGAGACAGAGAACCGTTTGTTCACTCCCCAGATGGTCACAACAGCCGGTGCTGTGCTGCTCTGAAGTCAGGAGCCAGCAGCAGTATAGGCAAGGGCCAGGGTACATTCCACTCTGGTATTTTGCAAGCCTGGACACTCAGTATGTCAGAACAGTAAAGAAAGAATTTCTTTAGGAACTGGTGCATTCATCTGTGTGCCTGTCAGATTCTGTAGGAGGAGAGAATTTTATTGGGTTTGCCAAAAGAATAATGAGGTTGGGATGGAACACTTTGTTCTCCATTCCTGTGTGTTCTCTGGAAAAAAATAGGGATGTGTTGTACATGAGACAATGTATGACAAAAAACTTAAGTTCCCAGTGTTGCCCATTGACTTATCAGTCCTGCATGGATTGATTTTGCAGTGTGCACTTTGTACTATACATTTCCTCTACCCACAGGTATCAGGAAAGAGAAAAGGCACTCAATATAGGATGAAAAGACACAAATGGCCATTGACTTCATTCATGTAAACAGTTTTATCCATTATTAAAGCATATCTCTCAACCTATCTGATGCTCGATTTTCATTGTAAAATGAGATTAGTGCATGCCTCACAAAAAGGTGGGAAAATTAAATGAGTAAATACATATAGAAAGACATTTCCAACTCTTTAAGTACTATGTTAATGTGAGATTATTCAGCTTGATAATTGTTGGGGTCTCTAGGGTATTTCAATATAATTCCATGGTATGACTTTTGTATATGACTGACAATTGGAGAGTGCCTTTACAGCAAGCCACTTTAAAGATCCAGAAGCCATCTGATGTGCCTATTTTATGACAGGTTGTTCCAGGGCCCTCTGATCATCATTTGAAGTTACAATACAGTCATATTATGACATGTACTAGAAGCTTCCATTTCTACTCTAGTCCTTTTAGATCATGATAATACCCTCTATACATATGCTCTGCATATATTAAGTGATGATTAGAAAATCTGCATTTAGCCACTTGAGGAAAAATTCTCACAGAATCCTGTCAAGCATCTCCATGAAATCCTAAGCCTCCTAGACTTCTTGGCTTCTTCTCAGTCCATCTGATCAAGTCATCCAAGAATCCAGTCACCTACCTATCCACCCATTCATACACTCATGAACATACCAACTCATCCAAACATAACAACTACCCATCCATCCACAACCAGTCACCTACCTATCCACCCATTCATCTACTCACATACAACCACCCATTCATCCACACAACTATCCTTCCATCCACCCACTAGTCCAGCTATCCATCAGTCCTACTATCCCATGAGTTCATTGACCCTTGTGTATTTTTGAACATTAATTAATGATCTATTTTTCTAATGTCATACACTGTCTTTTGGTGTAGAAGCAGACCCAGTGCCTGCTCTCCAGGCACATAAATTTGGCAGTAGAAAATTAGTTGACGAGTTAAAATAAACCTGGAGAAATTGACATAGAACCTGAGTAACACTTTATAAGTTATTTTTTTTATTTATTTAATTTTTGGACAGGCAGAGTGGACAGTGAGAGAGACAGAGAGAAAGGTTTTCCTTTTGCCTCCAATGGCCGCCACGGTTGGCGCGCTGCGGCCAGCGCACCACGCTGATCCGATGGCAGGAGCCAGGTGCTTAACCTGGTCTCCCATGGGGTGCAGGGCCCAGGCACTTGGGCCATCCTCCACTGCACTCCCTGGCCACAGCAGAGAGCTGGCCTGGAAGAGGGGCAACCGGGACAGAATCCGGCGCCCCCGACCGGGACTAGAACCCGGTGTGCCGGCGCCGCTAGGCGGAGGATTAGCCTAGTGAGCTGCGGTGCCAGCCAGGATATGATTCTTAAAGCAGTGAGTTAAAGCTATCTATTATGTTCCCTTGATGTCTCTGTTAAATCCTAATTATTTAAAAATAGCTGAGTTTTTATTTAGAGCTGTGGGTTATTTAAATATGTGCTTTTTTTTTTTTTTCCAAGCATTTGAATAGTCACCTTGTAACAAGGATCAGATTTGGTCTATATAATGTCATGATGTTAAAGAATTTTATTTCAACCAGATATTTTAGATTTTGAGCTTTCTTGACATCCTTGACAGTCATTCAAAAATCAAAATTCCAAAAATTTACACTTTGACAATTCCAGATGTGCTCCTGGAAATTTCAAAGACATATGTCTCATCATAGAGAGACACAACTAATCAGGCTATTTGGATTATATTAGAAGTACTGTCAAGATGTGAAGTGGTGCTAAATTTTAAGTTTTATAATATAAAATGCTACTGATATAAATGTCTGAATGTTAAAAAGTTTAATGATCTTGTGTTACTAAATTAATGGTCATCTTAATGAGAAAGGCCCTGAGGTCTAAAAGGATTAGATGCTTTCTAAAATCCTACAGGTGCTTTTGAAAATACTGTGTGGAGTTAGCAAGTGCCTCTTGTTGGTTGATGTGTTTATAATTTTAAACATGGCTATTTGAAGTATTGTCATCCACAGTTTTATATATCAGATTTTCTGCTCATGAAACTAAAACATTGTTGATTCTGTGTTTAGCTGCCCTCCCATAGCTTCTGATGGACTTTTTCCAGTTACTTCTATTGTATTCAGTACTATGGGATGGTTCTGTAAACAGATGAAGCCAATAATGCACTACAGGTTCCAATTCAGAGAAAGCATGGTTAATACAGGCTACTTAGAGCAGAAAGTA